CACGGGGAGATGGCGTCATCACCGCAGTCCTTGTGTTATCTTTGGTATTTCAAACATAAATGGGTCAGACAGGTTGTAAAGGCCTACTGAGTAGGGTTTAGTGACATCTAGTGGAAAAGCTTTGCAGAATGCAACCAACTAAAAACTACGGTGGCCACCGCAAAAACACGAAGTGCCCTAACTAGCGCCAATGTTTGGTTTGTCCGTTTTGGGCTACTTTAGAACAACATGGCAGACTTTGTGGAAGAGGACCCATTCCATGAGTAGATATAAACAGCTTATTCTAATATGACGAAAACACCACAGGCTTCATGCAGTAACACTCTCTTAAATCTCTTTTATACTTTCTTATATTAAGAGAAGTCAACTCCAGATGCACCAAATGCTCTTAACCATCAACCATTAAATCTGTTCTTATCCAGGTGTGCTGAATGATGAATCCCACTTTATCATAAGTAACACCTCCTGAACACTATGTAAGGGCAGGTGGTGTGTTGTGTGCAAAGACTCTGGCACATGTCTAAGAACAGGCAAGATGCCACCAAACAAATTCTGTAAGAAGAAGAACTTAGTAGTAGTAGTGAGATCATTACAGCTGAATAAACGTGGACAATGTAAATGTGATTTTACAGGAAAGGTATTCAGATTCTTTACTTAAGTAAAAGTACTAATACCACACTGTAAAAATGCTCTCTTACTAGTAAACATCCTGCATTGAAAATGTTCCTTAAGTTTAAGTATGTAAGTACAATCAGGGAAATGTATTGAACTTTTAAAAGTAAAAGAACTCATGCAGAAATGTTTAAATATATTTAATAAATAATTATAACTAAATTAATTTAAAGGAAAAGCAGCAAGCCCTCATTTTTGAGAAGAAGAAACCATGAAATGTTTTTGCATGAGAAATCACAAACGATTGTGAAAATAGTAGCCAATTAATTTTCTAATAAATTGACTTATAGTTTCAGCTGCACTTCTATATTTTCATATGGCTTGAGCACAAAACCATATGATTTGTTAAGTAACTCGTAACTAAAGTTATCACAGAGTAGTAGTGGATTAAATGTACAATATTTCCCACTGAAGTGTTGTGGAGTAGAAATAGAAAGTTACAGGAGATTATAATATGCAGTAAAGTAAAAGTACCTCAAATCTGTACTTAAGTACAGTGCTTGAGTAAATGTACTTAGGTATATTCCAGCACTGGTCAGTAGAGGGATGCACAGTAACTGAAATTACAGTAATTGGGATCGATGAATCAAGTACAGTAGTCTTTCTTTAGCCCTGAAATTTAATAATTCAATCATTATTATTACTCTAAAATGTAATAATTTAAATTTGATTATATGAATGTCATGCATTTTTCTAAATGTTTCACAAGTTTAAAACATTTTTCCTCATGTTGGACAACAATTTGTCGGCTGTGCTCAGTGAGTCATAAAGTGAAAAGCAAAAATAAGAAAATAGTGGTGAATCCTAGAAATCAGTGCATACTAAAAAAATAAGAGATAATTTGTTTGTACATCTCTCCTTGCATCTCTCCTTGGCCCAATTATTATTATCAGGTGATTATAAACTAGTGAAAACATGGTAGATAATATTCCATTTCTGTCAGTAGATGCCCCTAAATCCTACACACTGCATCTTTAAACAAGTCCAGTTTAAACTTTTTATGGAACCCACAAATTTTGTAAATAATTTAGTACTAAAGTGAAAAAAATGAACTGTCGATTGTAACCTCCCACTGCATTGCAGAGCTTTGTGTATTTATAACTTCGGCAGGACAAAGCAGACCTTAGGGAGTAGCTTTACTACACAAATGTTTATGTGGAAGGTCACAGACAACTCTTATTGCACTTATGTCCATCAGTTAGTAATATGTAATTTAAACAAAAATTAGAAAGAGTATTTACTAGAGGTGTCGATTTAGGTGTCAGTATTTGTTCATTGTGTAGAGTAATAACTTGTGTTTTGCTTGGTAAATAAAAACAGATATAGTAAATTTAAACATAAATTGACCCTGTCCTGTATTAAAAATGTACATTTTTTGGATGGGATGCAGTGATGTAACTGCTATCTAAGGATATCTGCACAGATCCACATTGCAAAAATGATAGATCTTTGCAGCCGCAGATAATTCAATAGTTCAATATTTTCAGCCAGGGATCACTTGATCAAAGTGATGTGTGAAAGTATTTGCAAGCATTGTAACATTAACTTGCATATCATAGCTAATCTCTACAGTGTGTGCTGCACAGAAAGGTAGGCTAACCCTAACCCTGACCCACATTTTAGCCTGGGTGTTCATTTCTCATAGTCTATAATAAATAAATACGAGTGTTTGAGTATGGAAATTACTTAAAATGCCCATCCCCAGTATTTATAACAAATTTACAGTTACCATATTTGATATTTAAACAAAAAATGCTTTAATACAGAGTGCTTATAATTTTTTGATTCTGAGCCTCCACTGTTTTTTGGTGCTTTTTTTTCCCGCTAAATCAAGAACTAAAATCTGAAATTAAGGGAATACCACTAAAAAGACGCTACTTTTGATCCTCTTATGATCTGTATGTTTTAATTTCTTTATGTGTCAATTAAAAAAAACTCCTTCATTGTCTTACAGGCATCCAGCTGAAGAAGGTGCAGGAGCAGCAGGAGCAGCAGGCCAAGAGGGAGCCGGTTGGAAACGACGTGGCCACCATCCTGTCGCGACGCATCGCTGTGGAGTACTCCGACTCTGAGGACGACTCCGAGTTGGAGGAGAACGATTGGTCGGATTAACATACACACACATACAAAAGAAAAAGGATAACCACTGAAGATACACATACAATCAGTCGATCTCACACTCACTTGAAAGAATGCCCACTATACCACACTCACACTTTGTTGCTGAAAACACACACATATACACACCTACACACAATCACATGCTGTAGGTTGATATAAGCTGAATGGTCCAAAACTGGAAATGTGGGGGTGTATTCGAGATGCTTAAACACTGTAAAGACACTAGTAACATACTGTAATACTTACCACTCGATGAAACATTAACGTAGTCGGACAAATGTATCTGAAAGCATTGTGAATACACCCCAGTGGATGTTTCTCTACCTGTTATAACACTATAGACACCCCGTGAAGGTGCTTATTTCATGTATAGTCCAAGCTTGGGAGCGTTAGAAGAATTAGAAACTTTCCTCTCGAGCTAACCAATGTACTTGTCTTTTTTTAATGTTTTTACTGAAACACATGCTTTAGATCATGAGGCAAGTTTTTAACCTGTCAATAACTGGAAATGAAGTTAATGGAGTCGCTGATAATAAAGCCTCCGAGGGAGCGAATGGGGAGAGCGTCTGGGAATGCTGTGGTGAAGATGGATGAAAGGCCGATATGTAATAAGTCTTATTGATCATAAACATGATAATTGATTGAGCTATCTGCGTCTGCAATCGATCACCGCTGTGTGGGACGGGAGGGGATGAGAGGGGAGGGGGGGTCATGTATATGCTAGTGTGAGCTCTGTAACCTTTGACCCAGAGAAAAATAAAATGATGAATGAAGGATCATGGCTGGGCTGCCATGTCTCTTTACTGTTCCACTGTTGTCATAGAGACGACACATACCTGGCACTAAGACTTCAGTTTCCATAGTAACAGTACAGCTAAGAAGGGAGTTGCCAGGGAAACAGAAGAGTGTGAAAAGGGGGGCACGGAGCCAGGGCGAGGATGAACAAATTAGTCGAGGCAGGAGTTTTTATGCACAGCACATGTTTAGTTTTTTAATACAAAATTAACAAGATCTTTCAATTGAGTGAACTAACCAAAGCAATAAAAAGTACAACTAACACCTTGGAAAAATAGACACCACGTTCACACAAATGTTTTTTTGTTTTTTGTTGTTTTACAATATCTCAGTTAAGTTAGTGCATGTTGATTATCGTTTATATTTTTCATTTTGCAGATACTTAATTTGTTGTGCCATTTTCATCCAAAAAATAAAGTGCATTTCACATTGAAAACTACGCATACGTCTACACAAGATGCTGTTAACTGTGGCGTCCTCCCTTCTCCAACCCCCGCCCCTAAAACACACACGCACACACATTCACAGGCCCTTGAGTGTTTTGATATTTAGCTCTAGATTAGTAACCATCAGAAAGACACCTCCACCCACCCACCGTTGGCTACACGTTTCCCCAAGTTGCTTTGTACACAGCTTTGTGTACTAGTACACTGCGAACCATAAATAGATAAACAGGTGTGTGTATACAGAGAAGTATTACATCCAACATCACAGTCTTTTGCTATTCTTGGATACAAAGCCCTTGTTCACACCTGCGTGGTCATGAGAATCTCAACAATACTATCGGCTGCACGAGAGAAAGACATTCACCAATCAGAGAAAGTCTAAAGTACCAAATATTTTCACAACCCACGTGTAGCCAATCAGCCATCCTTTAAGGTGTCAGTGTGTAGAATTCAGGGGGATATATTGGTAGAACTGGAATATGAAATAACAAGTGTGTTTTCTTTAGTGTGTAATCACCTGAAAAATAAGAATCACTGTGTTTTCGTTACCTTAGAATGAGCCGTTTATATCTACATAAGGAGCAGGTCCTCGTCTATGGATATTGCCATATTGGACCGTGATGTTTCTACAGTAGCCCAGGACTGACAAACCAAACACTGACTCTACATAAGGCCATTCATGTTCTCTTGTTTTTGTGTTGGCCACTGTAGTTAGCAGCATGGGAAAAACACTGATTTTTTTTTACGTGGAACTGCTTTTTTCAGTGTTTTTATGGTTTAAATCAACTGGTCCATTTGTTTTGGAGAGGAAGAAACTTCCGCGGATAATTCGGCTCATGGTAAAAACCTCCTGAACATCTGGATCTTAAGTCATCAGAGAGAAAAAGTGAGCACACATTAGCATGTGCTGGGCTAGCGGCCTGTCTCCAACATGCCACACAGCATAAGAGAAACACTGATTTATAACATGAAACCGTTTTATTCAATGTTTTTACCGGTTTAAATCACCTGGTCTGTTTATTTTGGAGAGGGGGAGATCTCTACGGATAATCTGGCTCATGGTAAAAACCTCCTGAACGTCTGGATTTTGAGTTATCAGAGAAAATAGGTGAGCACACATTAGCAGATGCTGGACTAGCAGCTAGTCTCCAACATGCCACACAGCATAGGAGAAACACCAGTTTGTAACGTGAAGCTGCTTTATTCAATGGTTTTACCAGTTTAAATCACCTGGTCAGTTTGTGTTTGAGAGGAAGAGACCTCTACAGATAATTCGGCTCCTAGTTCAAACCTCCTGAACGCTGGAAACAGAAGGTAATCTAACAGGGAGAAGTTTAAAGTGGTTGCAATCAGTAGTCCTCACAACTACATGCCACTAAATCCCCCTAAATCTTACACACTGTTCCTTTACCCAACCATTACAAACTGGTGCATATTGAAGCGAGGAAACTGAAACCTAACAGAAGACCACACTAACAGCCAAGGTGGAGAAATGTCATTCGTGAAAAATGGTGCAACCCAATTCATCCCACATGGTTTGACTGGCTTTGGTAGCACCATGCACGGTGGTATAAAGTCCCTCCTCTTCAGCATGCTGTATTTACAGAAACAAATGAGTCGAGAGGAGGTGATATCAGTGAAACAAGTTGATTATTACTACATTCAGAAAAAGGCTTTACATACAACGTCATACCGTACAACATCAGAAAGAATTCAGGCCAGACTAAAGTGGAAAAAAATAGAACTTTTGAATGAATATAACAAAATAGACTTTTCTCCAAAGGTAAAGGAATAAGAGTTTGTGATGGTTTGTGATGTGCCAGCCTGACCTGTTGGTGCTCATCGAATAATGACAGGATTCAGTCTGACACTGTGCACAAGTTCACATTCCAATGCACAGAAATGCTACTCCTCTGCTTTCCTTACTCACTCCCCTGTTTATTTTAATCGCTTAATCTGAGGCCGGAAAGATGAACATCCTCAAAGGCCTCTATCAGGTTCGAGGGGAGGTGGCAAGGAAGGAAAGAGGAAGCATTATCTTTGTATTTGGAAGTGACCATTTTTAGCTCATAGAATCATTCAGAGGTCACTTAACGGACGCCTGCCTCGACCAGACTAGATTGATTTAAAGTAGAATATTAGTGATATAGAGGAGACGGAGAACACAGCAGGACTAGGATCCCAGTTCATTCAGAGTCCCTTTCACTTTGGCTTGAAGTACTGGAGCTTCCACGTCCTAGTCCCATCTCTCTTCGACAAAGCTCTACACACACGTAACGAGGCCACTTCTCTCAGAATTGACAGGAAGACTGGCAGCATTATCCTCAAAGGTCAGGGGGGTCAACAGGAAGTTATATTCCTCAGCCCTGTTTTCACCCCCCCACCTCAACAAGGAGACAGATTATGGTCTACTGAGCTGCTGGATCACAGACACCCACACACACGCACAAGGACACACACATGCACACACCCAGAGGCCATGCAACTCATACGGTATGCACGAAAAACACAGTCTCAGATCACACACGGATACTTGAGGTTACAACACTCAGGACAGTTCATATGCTCACAAAAGGCAGAGGCAACAACGACAGAAGTTTCATCCTTGTGTGACGAATGATTCGATTTTAGGTCGGAAGGAAAAAAACATTGCGGAGGAATGAGGCAGTGGTGTCACCGTGACGAATGAGTCGTTTGATCTCGTCCACTTTGTCCAGCCCAGGAGTGATTATCCTATCACCTGTTAGAAGATGTATCACCAAAGCATCACTGAGCCCATTCACTACAACACATCCCCACCTGAGCAGCCATTACGGTACCCCACTCTGCAGGAAGAAGTCATGGCGGGACGTGGATGTTATTGCTGTCTGAGTATTGCTTCACATCTAAAAAATAAAATAACTACCATTCGTAGGCTAGTTATTGCTGACAAGATATGAAGGGACGAAGAATTAGCGTGCATGCTTGTCGGGATTTGCAAACTAATCTTGGGACCAAAACATAATGGACGACTAACTCAGAGCAGCTGGTAGGTATTGTGATGTGGGCTTCCATTGCACTTAGCTGAACTCAAATCACGATCAAAGCTTCTGAACGTCAAACGTATCCGCACTATACTGCAAAAATATTTTTAAAAACTCCACATTTCTCATAAAAGGGTGCAACTCTTGTGACCATCAAGTGATGATTGTAGCTCATTCAATGATACATGTGAGGTACACTGTGTACATAAACAGAATTATTAGGGTCATGATGACATCAGGGTACCATGACACATGGCCTGCAGTGGCCAGTGTGACCTACCACACTGAACTCAGGAGGAAAAGGGCATCTGTGCTTGCTGCATGCAAATTACACCCGAGTCCAGCATGCAGATCAGATATCATGTGGTTGGTGTGAGGCTCTGTAGAAGCCAGGAGGGTCAAATAAATGGAAATACATTCAGATTTTTGCAGATTTCCACATAAAAATCATATAATTTTGCTATTTCGTTGACAGGTTTGTGGTGATCTGATAAGCATGTTGATTTAAAATCCTTTAAGGTGAATGTATTAAATATCTGTGTTATCCTTTTAAAATTACCTTATAAATCAAGGTGTTGTTCAAATTTGTGGGGTTTCTCAATTAAGTTATTATTAAAAATTACGTAACAATCTCCAGACATTCAAAAAGTCATGAGCAATCTCCATTCAAAAGGTGAGACAGGAGGGATATAAGGTGGTTACATAATCCGATAGGTTTATATTGGGTTTGGTGCCTCCGTTAATAATAAAAAATGGAGGAGGGGTTAATGGTGGGTTCTCCTGGGGCTTTGTCTTAAGCCTCCCAGACACGAGATGAACTAAAACACACTCCCGCACAATCAACAGAGAAAAGAGGACAGATAAAAAAAAAGAGAGGCGAGGGGAGAAAAAGAAACGACTTGATTTCTTTCTCCGCGTCTGTGCAGGACGCAGGGCGCGGATCAGAGAGGTCTATTTTTAGCTCTCCGAGGCTGTTTAGCTTTCGACGCACGTTCAGAGTGCAGCAGCAGAGCGCCGGGATGCTGCTCCAGACGGGCTTTATGTGGAAATGCCTGCGTATTGAGCTGCAGCCGCTCTCTTCTCCTCACTGCACACACTGCTTAGTTAATCTGCCGTGCGCTTTTACGCACGCGCGCACAGCGGCGCAAACTAATAATCCCTCCCTGTTTGAAGAAAAAAACAAGCACGTGTCAACCAAAGCTCCCGTGCTGTTAACTATATGCACATTGTATATACAGCTGCTGCCTGTAACATGTGATGCACTCAGCGCTCTCTGCAGAGCAGAGAAAGGGTGTGGCACGGGTTGAACGGGAGGGGGCGGGATGCAGTGGCCGCCTTTGCTGGGGAAGACAGTGAGACACTTTGCCCTATGGTGAGTGTAACAAAGAAAAAAACGTCATCCATCCAGGTGGGCTGTGGATAACTAAGAAAACTGCTCCTGCCACTAACAGCCAGGACTGAGGCCACAGCCCTCTGCCACTGCCCCTGACCTCCCCTGCTGCTGCTCTCTTTGACACCAGACACATCCGGTGCAGAGCAGAGCTGACTCAGGGCGCCTCTCTCTTCCCACCTGGGTCTGCTTGGTCAGACGTCACTAGGGGTCCGTGCACGCTGGGCCACGCTGGCAGGCACGCAGCCGCAGCACACCAGCCACAGCGCCTTCTGGATCTCCTGGTTCCTGAAGGCGTAAATGACCGGGTTGATGACAGAGTTGTAGGTGGCAGGCACCAACGTGGCGTAGGTGTAGAGCGGAGGGTAGGTGTAGTCAGCGATTAGGGAGTAGACAGTGAATGGCATCCAGCAGGCCGCAAAGGTACCAAGGATGATGGCCAGCGTGGACACGCCCTTCCGTGTTGTGACGTAGTGGGGTGTGGCAGCCAGGAAGTGGTGCTGGAGGGCGATTTGGTGAGCGTGGCGCATCACGATCTTGCAGATCTGAACGTAGAGTTGCAGCATGAGGCCGAAGAGCAGCAGGAAGGAGACGGACAGCACAGCAATGTTGTTCTTTGTGAGCGGCCGCACCACGCTGCATGTCGCCTCCTCCGCCAGGCAGTTGACCCCTGTGACCGGCAGCAGGCCCAGACACAGCGAGAGGCCCCACAGCAGCACGAGCATGGTGTAGGTGAAGGCCGCTGTCCGCTCTGAGTTGTAGGTCAGGGCATAGTACAGCGACAGGTAGCGGTCAATGGTGATGGCCAGCAGGCTGAAGACGGAGGCGGAGAAGGAGGCCACCACCAGACCCACGGTCAGCAACTGGGCCGAGTCTGAGTGGAGCAAGTAGGCACAGGTGAAGTGAAGCACCAGGCCCAGGCCGGCCAGGAGGTCGGCCAGCGCCAGGCTTCCAATCAACAGGAACATGGGAGCTCTGAGCGCCGGGTTCTGCCAGATCACCAGCACCACCAGGGCGTTCTCACAGGCTATCAGAGTCCCAGATGAGCACAGCACAATGTCCCAGGGGTTGACCAGTAGGGGCAGCTGGCTGGGCGGGAGAGCGTCCGGAAACGTCCCAAGGCTGGTGCTGTTGTCCATCGGTCCCCCGCCTCCGCTGGCCCATGCTGTGGGGTCAGGGGTCAACCAACTGGGGGTGACTGGAGGCTCTTCACTCATTGTGGCCCCCGTCTGGAATTGACAAACACACTGATATCAGAACAGAGACAAGTAGGTTCATAGATAACGTGAATCTGTGTAAAGTCTGTTTTGGTTCATCTTTTTAAGACAAATACAGTGGGGGCTGTTTCCCTCCTGCCCCCACTTCACCTCTGTGCACGCATCTTGATTTCTAAATAGCTTAATAAAACACCACAGCAACAAACACATTTCTAGCCGGTCCAGACAGTAAACAGGTAATGTATTTCCCCTGGGGATTACAGTGTTTAGGCTGTTATAACAGAGGCCTGCAGGGCACACCACAAGTGATGAGCTCTGTTTATTAATAAAATGAAAGACCACAATAGAAAACCAAAGCAGGCTTTGCAGCAAATCTCAGGCCACATTTCCAAAGAGATATCGATAACCCTCCACCGGCAATAATTCACGCCGCTGTCAGAGCCCAAGTGCCGGTTCTGCACAGCAGGAGACACCGCGCCCGTCATGGAAACACAGCCTCTAACGCCATACATGCATCTCACTGGTGGCCATATGGTGCTGCTTTACCCTCTCTGCACCTTGCATCGGCGGCTGCTCCACGTCAGCAGAAGGATGCTGGTGGGAAAAAAACAGACAGGCTGCATGTTTTTCATGCATGTCAGGGATGCTCAATAATCCCATTCCGCCGTAGCCCAGCCTACCTTGACTCTGTGAGGTGAGACTTCCCGTCTAGATGGAAGAACGACAGCCTTGTATTTCCATGGTATTGATAAGGGATGGTGCAGCGCCGGCAGACAGAGACGCAGCCCGAGGAGGAGGTGGGGGATGCTGGTCCTTCTCTGCTGTGAAAGCGGGGATGATGGAAGAAGAAGAAAAGAGCGCGGAGCGGCTCTGCCGTTAACGGCGCATCGCCGTGGACTGCGGCTGTGCAGGGAGCAGCGAGCGGAGCAGCGGCGGAAGAGAGGAAGAGGAGGAGGTGTGCGTGTGTCTGTGTGGAGAGGAGGGGAGGGGAGGGGAGGAGGGGGTCGATGATGAAGGAGGAGTCCCAAATGGGCCGGACCCACAGAGACCGGTTGAACTCCGCTAAAGAGCTAAATGTCTGTACCGTGCTGTCTCAAGGACAAAGACAGGTAGGTGTGTGTGTGTGTGTGTGTGTGTGTGTGTGTAGGTAGATGTATCCTCACGTGCCTGTTGTCGCTTATTGCAACAGTGAAACATGCTTTCTGTCAACAGGCGTGACTATTTCTATCCCACCCAGGAAAGCTTATGTTGTCCCACCTGCACAGACACAGAGCACTCACACTGTTGCAGTGATTCTGTGCCGCCTGACTCAAGTTTCAGATATGAAGATGCTGGATGCAGAGACTCGCTTTCCTCCTGCGACGCCCTGCTATTCTGGTCCTGTCTGTGCTATTAACAGCAACCCTGATGTGTGTCACCAACCTCCTCCCCTCCCTCCCTCTCCCTCTCCCCTGTCCTCCATCTTCTCTGCCTCATCTCTCCATCCTTGCAGCACTGCCTCAGAGAAAACCTCCTGATGAGGATCTGACGGGTGACTTGTTGATGTGTGTGTACGTGACCATAGTTAGCTGACCAGGCTTTACGTGCGTTTTCTCCACCTGCCGTTTGAGTCTGAATGGATTAAAAATAGCTCCTGTTGCAGTGGGAGAGCAGGAGTACCAGGTAGCACCGCTACGGGGCGATGCTGAGCTCCTATGAGTCATCAGTGCGCACCTGTGGGGCACAAAGAAGAGAGCACACCCTGCCTCAATCTTACTGGCTTTATTTCTTTTTCTTTAAAACAGAAAATGATCGCTTTACAACAGGCCTTTTCAAGCAAACCCTCACATTAAACTTGCCAACACCTACAAAACGGTATCAAAAGTGCACCATAGTGTTAATACATCTTCTCAAGGTCTAACAATTTCCATATTATCATCTTGTAATATTTATACAAATACCATTCTGTACACTGTAGAAATACACAGCCCAGCGTGCCCCATGAGTGGGACACTCACCCCCCCACCCATCCGCCTCTCATCCATGATCAAAAACATGATCCACTCTCAGTAAATCCCAGTGCAGAATAACAGCGTGGGGGGTGAAGACGCTGAGCCAATGTTACATCATATGAATTATTAAATACCCATTCAACCCCACACCCAAGGAAAAACCTAATACGGCACTCATACAACCAACTGATATCTGTACAACCCTCATTCAACGACTTGTTAAAAACAATCTTGACACAGTTTTCATTCATTATCGTCTCATTGTCCCGGCAGCGGCCGCAGCGTCCAGCCAGAGTGAAGATGGCGAGGGGGGCAGGAAGGACATGGAGGCGAGGAGGGAGAGCTGGTAAGTAAGGGGGACTTCCATGGCTGAGCTGCAGCACTGAGTGCGTAAAAGCACAAGTATGAAACACAGCTGTGCGGGCAAGTAGCACACCACGCGGACTGCTGTGGTGCGTTTATGGTCCGCTGCTCCCCGTAAAGAGGGAACAGAGCATTTCTCCTGGTTTCTGTGGCGAAACGCTCGGCTCCACATTTAGTCTCTGGACTGGTAAAAGAGGATGTAGCCTGACTCAGAGTTCTTGGAGATTTCAGAAGTGAGACCGTAGAATTCCTCTATGGCCTGTGCATCAATTTTCTACAAAAACAGAACACAAAGCAGAGTTGGAAAAATAAACCTACTATGAACATCAAATCAAATATACATATACACAAATGAACTCCCTTACCTCTACAATATCATCATCAAACAGCAACCAGAAGTCATGACTTTTCACAATGGCAATGTAGTGACCCCTGTTCGGACCACTGAAAAGAAACAGAACACTGTATTAGAGCAGATGTTGCCTCTACAGTCATATTACACTGACTTTAAAGGCCCTGCAGACTCATGGCCCACCCACACAGGTGTTTCCACTCATGTTCCCTGATTAGACTCCTCCGCAGGACGGTGTAAATGTGTAAACACTTCGTTTTATTGACATCTCTCTGACCTTTCTATGAGGTGGAAACACTTGTGTGGGTGTACAGGGCATTAAATCAAACACAAATCTGTGTAGCTGTGAGCAAAAACATGTTACATGTTGAACACGGCATGACTAATGAAATCTGAGGCTGGTTTAGTCGTGGACTTGTTGAATCTGACAGTTACCACTGGAGCTGGGCAATGCTGACAAAAATCTGACCAGTCCAGTTTAGTTTAAGTAATCTTGAAATTTTCCATCTGTTGCGTCACTATCTATCGCTGAATGAGGTAACACAATGTTGACTGAGCCTATGGCCCACTGGTGACAGCCCTGGCATTTGCAGTATTACAAAACTGGTGTCAAGGGCGACATTGCTGGATAAATTACAAGTGTTGCACAGTAGTTAATAGTCCGCTCACACACACACAACAAAGGTTACATACATGCACACATATATTCACCATCTACGCTGCAGTAACCCTTTCATCTCGACATACATTCACCAGCCTGGTTTCAAGCCTGAAGGCCTTTACACACTGGGGGGCGTTTTTTGTACAATTAATTTGCACCTCAAGGTCAACTTTTCTGAGCTTTAACACCGTGAATAAAGCCATCAACCGATCATGCTGAGAGGATTATAAAACATCAACATCTAGGCTCCATAGTCTAAACCAAGGCGGCGCAAACTTTAGTGTGCCAAACACACTGCAACACCACTTATCACCATAGGTGCCGCCAAAGAGAGAGGATTTTTGCTGGTCCAACATGAAGGCGTTAACTTATCTTCACTATACTGTTCTCCCGCACTTCGCTGTGCATCTGCATTTCTTTCTCTAACGCATGTAAAACGGATTCACATACACAAAAGTGGTTAAAAATGTTGAATTACTGTTTAAAACCTGAGCTTCACCACCATTACTGTAACTGTAACCTTTTTTAAAATCATACTGTACAGGTAGAGAAAATAAAGACAGGTGGCTTTCGTGATACTGTCTACTGACAGTTTCTTTTTCTCTTCTCTCTTGGTGGTAGGTCATCTGGTGTTGTGTTGTGATGTGCGTCATACAATAAAGCGATCCATTGTCCCACTCACAGCTTTCTCCTTTTAAATGTTATGATCCATCACACTGGCTGCCAATCAGGGCTTTTGATGTGTCACACACTTCTAATTCCCATGTGCTAACAGTGACAAATAGATCCCCCTTGAATTTTTTTTTTAAAATTAAATCTAATTAAATTAAATGTTTTAGCTAGAGTTTGTGTCTTTATTAGGAGATGGGCGTTCCACCTCTCAACACAGTTTGTTTATCTGCAGCTCAAACATGACTGGTCAGTACTATTTGGACTAAAAACAGGAACTAGAACGCCTCTGATACCAAAATCTTGTATCGTTGCCACATATTCTGCACACACATGAAGGTATCTGTTTGTAGAGATTAATATTACACTGTCTCGTGCCCTGATACACTGATATGTTGGCCAATAAAAGGAATTGTTTGTTAATTTCACTCAGTTTAAGCAGTATTCATTATACTGTATATTTCAGGCACTATATCATGACATTATGATGATGAAATCCCAGATGATGTATGGCCTAAAACCATGACATCAATTTCATCATACGTCTCCCCGCTCTTAAAATAAGTCGGCAAAAGGGAGCTGAAATGGGAGTAAAGCTCAAAGGGAGAAGCTCCCGACAGATAACTTACATCTTTCCCAACTCCGTATAAGTTTGCTTTCTTAAATAAATGTATGTCTATTCATAGTCACGAAGCGCTGGAGTCTGTTTCATCATGCACTGTGTGAAAAGCAGGGAAACACCTTGTATAAATGCAGACAGACAAACTCCCACTCACACTGGGTCAAAACTGGTGCTGAGAAACAGTACAGCACAGCTGAACAATGATGGATGAGGGTCTGTGTTTCCTCCTGCTAGATGTGATTTAGATCTAATGTACATTTATTCTGGTGCCAAAGGGCTCAAGTGCATTTTATTATTAGAACAATGATTTGTCTGCCTGTCTCTGGTTGCTGTGGAGACGGCTATAAGGTGTTGTATTCTGGCTGTGTGATCACCTACACACCTCCCACAATGCACCACCACGGCGACTAGGTCGTACAGCCTCTCAGGATTGGTGGCGTCCCCAGAGGTGTTGAAGAGGCGGAGCTCCAGGGGGAAGACGACACGATAGGACAGCTTTGTGTAGCGCTGCAGCTGCTCCATGTACTTAAAGCGCTTCAGGTGCAACGCCAGGATCATTGGCAGCTTCTTAACACGCATCCTGTGACACAAACATTACAGTCAGACACTGAAATGCATCAACACACATCTTAAATAACACACATTAAGAATCAACCTGTATACTGACCTCTTGTGTGCCTCCTGCTTGCTTCTACATTCTTCACAGTAGTATTTGTACTCACTGCACAGTGTCTCTGTGTTACTGAAACCTCTGAAAGGAGCCACAAAGACAGAATTAGCCAATGAATTCCACATCTACAAATAAATAATTTAAAGGGACAGTCCACCACTGATCAAAAATACATATTTTTCCTCTTACCTGTAGTGCTATTTATCAATCTAGATTGTTTTGCTGTGGGTGGAGATACCAGCCAGAGATGTCTGCCTTCTCTCCAATATAATGGAACTAGATCACACTCAGCTTGCGGTACTAAAAGCGTCACAAACCTGCCAACCACATCACAACGGATAGGGAGGATGCATCCTCTTATGGACAAGAGGGTTGTGCTTGTAAAAGTGCAAGAACAATAATGGCGTCCTCCTTGGCTGAGCTGTAACATTTGCTAGCTTGGTGACTCAAAGTGAGCTAGCAATAAATACACGCTTCCTTCTGTGTGGTGATATAGTTGGCAGGTGTAGTTTGGTAGACAGAAAATAGTTCCTACATGAAACTGCTCGCAACAAGGTCTGTGGATTTACTTGAGAAACCAGGTCATGATTTCTGGAAAGAGACATTGCTGTTGAGTTTTTCAAATGTATTTTTTGTGCTATCCAGTTCCATTACATTCAAG